CTTGGTAGCCCAGGCTGGCCTCGAACTCACAGAGATCCGCCTGCCTCTGCCTCCCAAGTGCTGGGATTAAAGGCGTGCGCCACCACCGCCCGGCACCTCCCTCCCCTTCTTAATGACATCTGACACACTCTATCTGAGAACATGGCTGAGAACTTCTGCTAGCTTATAGGTTTGAGATGTAAATAGAGGCATCTTTATAGCTATTGGCAAAGTTCAGTTTAAAAGGAGAGAATTACCTACCTTTTTTTTTTTTAATATGTTCTGTAGGTTTGGAGTTTAGAGATGACAGAATCTGGGTTTGAATTTTTACCTTGTACATTAGATAGATCAAAAGCTGAAGATGGACTGGTAAAACAGCTTGAAGGAAGGAGCCATTTCCTAGGAGTTCACAAACTCAAGCCCTAGATTGCCCGTGTGTGTGTGTGTGTGTGTGTGTGTGTGTGTGTGTGTGTGTGTGTTTGTCTATCAGTGTCTCTGTGTTTCTCTGTCTCTGTGACTCTGTGTGTATGTGATAGTGGGTCTGTGTGTCTGTCTCTATATGACTCTGTGAGTGTGTGTACATACTTGCTCACATGTGACAAATATGCAGCTACTTCGTTATCCATGGGATTTTAGATTTCTCTCATGGTAAACACAAGTTCAGCACAAGGACATGGCAGTGCTGCTGGTCCTACTAAGCTGAAACAGTCCTTCTCTCCTTCTCTCTATGTCCTTTTTTATACCCTGAGGTTTGGAACATGTGTGGGAGTCTTTGTTTGGTGTTCTTTCATGCATCATCTTGCAGGTAACTAACAGCTGCTTCCATGGTTGTATGCACTGATTTCAAATGCTTTAAACCTCTACCCAGGACATCTGCTGGCTGCAGACCACGGGGAAGCGAGCAACTCCCCTGTGCTGTCACTTCAGTTCCAAAATAATGGTCTGAGCAGAAGAGAGTCTCGTCAGGGGAAGGGAGAACAATTACGGTGCCTCACAGATCCTACCTCTTGAAGGTCCCTTCCCCCGGCACCTCAAGCCCTACTTCTCCATTTGGTTTCGGCCTCCAGTGTTGTGCTACACTGTAGGTGTCGTAGGGTAATCACAATGAACATCAAGCCAGCCTGTAGGAGTAACTTACTGACTGGTTGATTGCTGTCCAATTCCTGCCTTTCTAAGAAGCCCCCTTGAAACAGCTTTGTGAGAAAAGCAGTTGTGATCCAAGTGGTGTTCCCCTAAGACTCCTCTGTTTAGCTGGGAACCCTTTCCTCTGCTCCTAGCCACGGTTCCACTCTACTATTGATGACCTACGTGCCAGACTACCTGGTGGTTAGAAAACGCTCCCCATTTCGTCACTCATGTATCCATGCACAAAAGGAGGTAGTGTGGAATTCTCTACTATATTTTACAGAAGGAACCTTGGGTGCAGAAACATTAGTTGTCATAAAGTTCCACAGCATTGGCTATATACAGTGGTGTTTTTCAAAACCTTGTTTTTTAAATTTTATAATTAATTTAATTTTACATATCAGCCACGGATTCCCCTGTCCTCCCTCCTCCCGCCCCCACCTTGCCCTCCCCCCAATCCACCCCCCCATTCCTACCTCCTCCAAGGCAAGGACTCCCCCAGGTGGAGCTCTAGGAGCCCTGTTTTTTTTCTTTTCATTTTTATTAAGAAATTTTCTTCTCACTCTACATACCACTCACAGATCCTATCTCCTCCCTTCTCCCATCCCCAGCCCTCTTTCTGAAACCACCCCACATCCCCACATTCCTCAAATCAAGGTCTCCCATGGGGAGTCAGCAGAGCCCAGCACACTGAGCCTAGGCAGATCCAAGCCCCTTCCCACTGCACCAAGGTTGCGCAAGCATCACACCATAGGCACCGGATTCCCAAAAGCCTGCCTTTGCACCAAGGATGGGTCCCAATCCCCCTGCCTGGGTGTCCCCCAAACAGTTTGAGCCATACAACCATCTTCCGTATCCAGAGGGCCTAGTCCAGTCCCATGGGGGTCCCACAGCCACCAGTCCACAGTTCATGGGCTTCCACTAGTGCGGCCGGTCATCTCTGCACGTCCTCCCATCATGATCTTGACATGCCCCGCCTGCAGAATCCCTCCTCTCTCTCATCAATTGGATTCCTGGAGCTCAGCCTGGTGCCTGGCTGTGGATCTCTGCATCTGCCTCCATCAGTCACTGGACAAAGGCTCTATGATGGCAGCAAAACCCTGGTTTTGAAAGTCCAACAGAGCGATGTATGCCTCAGTTTGAGAAGAACCTTGGTGCTCACAACTATCATGATACTCTCTCACGAACTATCATTCAGCTGGTGTGGAATAATGAAGTTGAGTCCATTGGAACAGAAGCACGAAACCTGGCCTTGTAGTCAAATAGGTAGTGCTTGGAGTCTTGCTTTTCATACTGTGCATTTGACCTTTGGCACGCCTTTAAACCTCTTTGAATCTCAGTTCCCTTCTCTCTCATTAGTACATGTTCTTTTTTTTTTTGGTTTTTCGAGACAGGGTTTCTCTGTGTAGCTTTGTGCCTCTCCTGGAACTCACTTGGTAGCCCAGGCTGGCCTCGAACTCACAGAGATTCACCTGGCTCTGCCTCCCGAGTGCTGGGATTAAAGGCGTGCGCCACCACCGCCCGGCTAGTACATGTTCTTTTAGGCATATTTTGAAGATTAGGACTAAGGGCAAAGCTGCTGACTCTTGTTGGAATTCAGTATGTGTTAGATATTACTTCCATCTACCCGACTTGTCTTTTCCCCTCCCAGGGACCCACCGTCACCAGCCTCATCTTTGTCTTGTGTCCTCCATCTAGCCACTTAGCTAAGTACACTGATGAGTGCCCGCCGGAGCACAAGCTTCCTCAGAAAAGAGCCGGGTCAGGTCAGGGCGAGGAGTCTTTTGCACATGTTTCTGCAGTGGCTCCAGTTTCCAGAGTGAATATTTGGACCCATTCTACAAAGTAGTCTCCAGGGGGAGAAACGAAGGCTTGCAGCATTGCTGTGGGTTTTGCATTGAAACAGATGAATCCATGATGCATGAAAAGGCTGTCAGGCAGGCTGAATGCTGGTGTAAGGCTGGGCATCTGTTATTCCACGCCCCGATGTGAGGTCTGTTCTCCTGGGTGAACCAAGGCCTGGCCAGACAAGCAGTACCATTGTAAAGTCCTGACAATAGACAAGCAAGAGGACTTGGCTGTGATGGAGAAATCTCCACCCCTTTTGAGTTTTAAAGGAAGCGAAGCTGGGGTCCAAAGCCGGCCTTATTAGAGACAGACAAATCACCCAAACCGATCTTTATTATGAATGCCCAGCTATTGAATTTCCTCTGCTCTGTAAAGTCTATTGATTTTGTGACAGTCAAAGATAAGTTATGCTCATGAAAGCTTTTTTTCCCCATTCCTTTTCCTTTACAACATATTTTTCCAGACGTATTGGCATTGGGGATTTTGAGTAAAACTGTTAGCAGTTTCTTTCTATTTAAGGATAAGTTGGTGCTCCATTGAGGCCAATGACCTTTTTTTTTTTTTAAAGTGGTTTCCAGTGCAAGTAAAAGCGGCAGGAATGTCCTGAGCTGGAGTCCTCCGCGAAGCTATTTGAGACTCCAGCAGGAATGTTCAGGCATCCCAGGATTTCTGGAAGTCTGACAATAGCAGTGTTCTACTTATTCACCCCTTGTCCTCTCCACTACATCGCAGTGCTCCTGTTGACTTGAGATCCCTTCACACCAAGCCATGCTAGAAGCTCACTCACCAGCTCCACCAACAACATGGAAAGGCAGCCCATGGAAGAAACACCTGCTACCAGGCATGATGCACACCGGTGGTCTGGGTAGCCATGAATGCCTTTAGACTGACGGAGCACCTCTTAAGCTGAAGGTGTTTCTCTTTAAATGTGTGACTGTGGTGTGAATATGATCTCCACACTTTATGGAAGAGTGGTCCTCCCTTGGTAATTTATTCTGAATTCTATCATATTATAAACACATTTTGGCACTGCATACAAAAGCAAGACAGTCTAGCTCATACTGGTGCCTTTTGAAGAAACTGTTTTAAATGAATTTATATGGCAAACATACTTACACTGTATAATACAGATGTCATTTTAAGTCATAAAATAAAAATGTAAGCTATATATGATGTATGACTATATATAATATGTTACGTATATATTATGTCAGATACATATGACACATAAAGTCCTCTAGTGTATAAAGAAGACGCTAATGATGGCCTGATCCATAGCAACATATTCATTCACTCATTCATTTAAAAACACATATTGTATACTAACATGCTCCAGGAATATGGCAGGAGCATTATAGATTATTTTCTCTTTTTGAGATCTTAATGAGCATGAGTTTGTAATTGGCTGGCTAGAAAACCTGTATTCCCACTTCCCAGAGAGGATGGGGGCAGAACACTTCACTTGCAGGGCTCATTCCCTTTGAGTGAAGATTGCCGTTAAGAGTTACGAGGCAAGGGAAGAGATTTCAGAAAAGCTTATAGAAGCTCTCTCTGTGTGTGACAATTCCTCGCCATCAATATGCATAGAATGGTTTTCCCAAGTGAGCAGAACAAAATCCTTTTTGTTTTTTTCCAAATAAGCAGCCTCTCATGGGAAAGAAGGTAGAGTGGCATCCCAGCTGGCAAGCACACATCTATTTCCAACGGGGCATAAAATCCACTTGACGTTAGACCATGGATGAGAAGGAAGGAGGACTTTCCCCCCTTCACAAGAATTAAATCATTTTTCATGCTTACAGATCCATTGGAGGGCACATGCTTGGTTGGAGAGTTATCACCAAGTGCCACCTACTCAAATATCTTTCTTTTAATAGACCTTGAGCTTAGGTGTCCCCCCCCCCCAAACAATAACAACAACAAAAACATGCTTTCAGGGCCAGGCATTAGTTTGCAAGGGACCCCCACTTCACAATGAACCCATTTTTGCTGAGATCACTGGTGACATGGAGATTCTGTGTAGTTCATGATAGATGGGGCTCTGGAGTCTGGATAGAGCAAAGACAAACCCAAGGACAAACTACAAAAGGAGTGATGCATGGCCAGTGTTTGAGCCCGGCAGCAGGGCCTCTGTCAGTGGAAGACATAGCTGATGGAATGACAGAAAGGCCTAGAAACAAACCTTTACGACTTGACTTCAGGATGGCTACTCATTGCTCCTTCTCCCATCCTCACAAATAAAACGTTTGTACTGTAAAAAAAAAATTGTTTTAATCTTTAAAAATTTATATTATTTGTTTGTGTGTATGTATGTGTATTTGTGTCTGTGTACATACATGTAAGGTGCCTATGGAGGCCAGAAAAGGGCATTGGAGCCCCTGAAGTTAGTGGTACAGACAGCTGTAAGCTGCCTGATGTGAGTTCTGGGAACCAAACTCCAATCTTTTGAAAGGGCAACAAGAGCTCTGAACTGCCAATTGTCTCTCTGGCCCCTAATAGACTTCTAAGAAATTATTCTAAATATATGAGCTTATTAAACTTAATTAGGCCTACAGTTTGTGCTAGCTAGTTTTTAATGTCAACTTGACGCAAGCTAGAGTCAGCAGAGAAGATTGAGCCTCAATTGAGAAAATGCCTCCATAAGATCTGGATGTAGACAGGCCTGTTTGGCATTTTCTTTATTAGTAATTGATGTGGGAGGGACCAGCCCATTGTGGGTGGGGCTGCACCCTGGTTGACAGTCCTGGGTTCTGTAAGAAAGCAGGTGAACAAGCCAGGTGAACAAGCTAGTAAGCAGCACTCATCCCCTCTGCAGGCCCTTCACCTCAGCTCAACGGACTGAGATTCAGGATTTGTAAGCGAAATAAACTCTTTTCTTCCTAAGTTGCTTTGGTCATGGTGTTTTATCACAGCAATAGAAAAATCTAAGTTGCATTTTAACTTCATATTAAAATGCTTCTCCAAATTTCTGCTTCATGGATAATTTCTTTCTGGTTATTTCAGACTGTTTATTTGTTAGATTTATGATTCTTCTAGACAAAAATGTTGTGAAAATACATGGATTTGACAACCAGAGAGATTAAGTTTAAATTCTTGGTCTATATCTTACCTGTTTGTGGGCAGTGAAGTGAGCTTCTCTAAGATTCAACTTAATTCCTTATAAAGTGAATGACTCAGTGCTGTTTGTAGCCAACTAAATTTTAGATGGGAGAGGGAACTTGTGGGTGAGAGCTAGAATTGACTGACTATGTCACCAAACCATATCATGTCCTATCCTCAGGCGAGGCTCATACCAGAGGATGTATACATGACATATGTAACATCTCATCCCATTTGTTTCTCATGAGACTTTGCCATGGGATCTGCTTCTAAGAGCAGAGTGAAGGGAAGTGAGGCTTCTGAGCAGAGACTTTCACAAGCCATCATGTGGTTCTTTTCACTGATCTTGGGATTTTTCTTGCAACTATAAAACACACTGCTACTAGTTCCAAAATAAGAAATAAATGTTCCATTCACCCAGGCATGGTTGAATCCAAATGGCTAGCAGGGCCAAGACCAACCTGCACACTCAGTGTAAGAAAAAAGCTGTTAAAAAAAAGTCAGTTGAGGTTTTGATGTTATTTCCCATTTATAGCAAGAGTGTTCAAGAAATGTTTGTGTTTTTCTTTTCTTTTTCAGAGTTCTTAAATGTTAGGATGTAAGTAAAACAATAAAACCTCTGTTTTTTATTTTTATTTGGTTGCTACTCTTTCTAGTTAGGTATGGGCCTAGATAGTTCTTAGACACAGCTGTTTCTTAGATTTCCACCCATTGTTATCAATCCCTTAGGTGTCTGAGTACAGAGTTCTCTCTGTATTACTCCCGGTCTTCATCTTAGGAAAGGCCATGGCATCAGTTTAGGGTCTCCAGCCCTGGATTAGTGGTTGATGGTAGCTTTCTTCTTCTAAACTGTGTTTAGGGACAACAGATAAGAGTCTCAAATTGCCAGTATCTCCAAAGAGAAATGAATAAGAAGAGGAGACAGAAATCAAAGACCTTAGTCCTGAAGGACAGTATTGTTCAGTGAATTCTCTGGTTAAAGAGACTTCATGCTAAATTAATCTGTTGTTTCCATTACATCAAGTCTGATGACTTCTACATCAAAAACAAAATGAAACAAAATGCAGGATGTGTTGGACCATTCCATAATTTACAATATTGAATGTTCCACTGAATACATAATCTAGAAATAAGCTTTGGGCAGATCCCAAATAGTCAATGAAGAGATTCCTAAGAAACTTCTTTAGGGTGTTGTGTGAGTTTGTCTGGGAAAATATGAGCATCTACTCACCCCAGATACAACAAAGAGGTATTTTTTCCCTATGTCTAGTTAAGTGTGGCAGTGAGATTTTTGGAGTTACTTACAACATGGGTAATGAATTGAAAAAGCTACATTCCTAGAGGTTCCTGCTTGACTTGCAGGCAGCTGGATAGGTCTAAGAGTTCCCTCTACCCAGCAATTATTACTGTTTATATAACTTTTGGGGAGGGGTTTTGAGAATCTTGTTAGCTTCAGGAACTTCCTGAGAAGTTCAAATTGTATACTTCCTATCTTTAAGTTTTGTTTACCACCTGAGTCTTAAAGTTCCTTCTGCTAGAACTGAATGTCTCAATTCACAGGAAAGTGCTGAAAAAACCATGTAAACAACCCAAAATTTAGAATGAAGGAAAGACTAGGCAGAACAGGTAACTCAATTCAATGGAATGAAAATCAAGGATTGAGATCGATTGCCACTGATGGCTCTCTTAGACCTTCTTTTAGTTACATAGGGACTAACTGTCCATAGGGGACTTTATTCAGGATGTACAAAAGGGTTATTTAGCCTTTGATGTATTCCTGTCATTGAGGGATATAGTAAGTATCACATGGAACTAGAAAGCCAGTTCATCCTAATGGAACTCAGTAGGAAAGAGGGAATCGAGAAGGCCAAAGCAAAAACTAGCCTCCTCCACGAGCTTTCCTAACTCCTGTGAACTTTACCATGTTTGTAAATAGACAGGACTATCCATCACATGAACACAACTGTTTCAACAGTCACCAAAACCAGAAAATGATTCAAGGAACCAATTGTGTTTACCTTTTCTCCATATTCACCAACTTTTTTATTTTCTTTTATTTTTTAATAGGATGGAAGTTTAAGGTGAAGAAAGACCACAAACTAGTTTTTATAGTGCTACAATGTCTATGATGTAAAAACCTTTTGGGAAATAGGTTAATTAGAATAATAAAGTCTCTTATGGGATATAGGAAGATTCAGAAAGTAAAAACTTTAAGAGACATAACTTTATGAGACATAAATAAATAAAGTTTTTGTTTATTTATGAATAACACAACAGCTCAACATGGCCATAATCCTTCTACAGATTTACATTTCTGAAAACAAAGGGTCAAAGTACATGGGAAAAGCATTTGAAGTCCCAGAAAGCTCCAAGCCTCCGTGATTTATTTGCAGCCAGCTGTCACAGCTTAATGCATCGTTGACATGCTCTGAGCTGTAGCAAACTAAGCCACAGGAGATCCACAAGCACCCTGAGCTGCCTCTCTGCCTCACAGATAAGCATCTCTACAACCTCCCTCACCAGCCTCCTTCAGTCCCGTGTGTTCCTTTAAATTATTCAGAGCATTTCGTTCATTTCCCATGATGCTCACGGTTTCCAGTTTTTATCATAACACAGACTGTTACCTCTTCCAAATTATGAGCCAGGGAAGGCAAGGGGTTATAGCCAGTGTCTCCATGCAGCAAAGGCATGAAGGTTCTTGGGATCATTATTCCAGAAGAGAAGTGCTGAGACCAAAACCATAAAAACAAAAAACAGGCAGCAGCTTTTCTTTCAATGTCCCATCCCCTCCTTTGCACATTTTTAAAAATCCTTCTAGATAGTATATTCATGCACATTATTTAAAGGAGTTAAGTATTTCCAGAGGTTTATTGTAAATCAGTGGTTGTCATGGCAAACATCCAAAGGCAACCACTCTCAACTCCCTTTGTTCTTTTGTGTTTCTATTACCTGTATATCTTTAAATTGCTTGTTTATTGTTTTCGTGAATATGTGTGTATGTGTGGTGTGGTGTCTGTGCAGCACACACAAGAGTGTATAGGAGCATGTGTCCCTGAGGCATGTGCAAACCAGAGCAAGACAGACATCTCTGTCTTATTGTCTTGAGGCAGTCTTTCACTGAAGCAGAGGCACATGGTTTCAGCTAGGCTGACTGGCCAGTGAGCTCTAGGGGTCTACCTGTCTCCATTCCCCAATGCTGGGGTATCGAGCACGCACAACCATACTCTGCTTTTTACATGTGTGGTGGGATTCCAACCGAGGTCTTACAAGGCTGCAAATCAAGTTTTCTTTCCTACTGATCCATAATACCCCCTTCATGAGGGCCCCCCCCACCCCCGGCGTGTGCTTCTCCACTGGCCTTATCCATCAATTATTTACTACAAAGGGTAAGATTTGAATTTTCTTCCACTGGCAGGAATGCCTTCCTACTTCTTATTTCAGTCGTCTACTGTAGCTACATCTTAATTTGGTCATAGTTATCATCTGCACAGTGTACCTGACTTAACATGTAATTATTGAAATTACTGGGGAGGACCAGAGTGACACAGTGTCTTCTGGACATCCTAGGGTTGCTGTGCTCATGAGCTCACAGCCGTGTGGTTGCCTGCACAGATCTAGCTGGTCAACATTCC